CGACCGGGAAACGGTTTGGAACGAAACTTACGGAGTTAATAGTACTTGATACTTGACTACCAATAACTCATGATAATAGCATACGACGCAATACCTCTTCGTTTTCGAGAAAAAACGGTCTAAAGAAAAGAGCCGACACAAGTGTACGAGTTAGTAAGAAGGGTATTCCACGAAGCGGCGTAGCGCAGCAGCGAATGTAATGGACTACCGAGCTGACGGCTAAGGTTCGATCCTTGCTGTATGGTTTTGTTTTTATTCTGTAAGCATTAAAATGGAACAAAAAACATTAATAAATAATAAAATTACGTTTCTTAAATATATTAGTGTTTATTAAATATATTATTAATGATTTAAATTGCAAAAAAATCGTTAATCTTATCTATAAAATATATAGTGTATGAGAAAATTTTTATATAATAATTGCAATGGAAATAGGAATAATAATATTGTTATGAAATATATAGGAGTGCTCTTAACCCTTTGCGGTCGATGCCGCCATAGTGGCGGCATTCGCAATTCGTCGTAGAAGTCGGTGCCGCCAGGCTGGCATTCATGATCGCCTGGCGCGCGGCACGGCAAACGAGGCTAGCGATAATAAAAGAAAACTATCCTCCCGATGCTAGATTCAAATGTTTAGATCAACTTACAGATCAACTATCAATGTTTATCGATCTCTTCGAAATCAGCCGACCGCAAAGGGTTAAACTAGTATGAGATAATTTTTCGTAATTTTATATCGTATATATAAAATATTTATTTCTGTAACAACTCTCTATGTTGTGTTCTTTTCTCTTTATTTCTTTATCTCTTCTGGCAATCCCCCTCCAAAAACTTCCTTTGTGTCATTCTAAACGATCGTTAGGAATGACGAAATGATTCGAGCGTCGGAACAGTCGTCAGTAGAGCAAGCAGCAGTGTGCATTTACTAGTAATACAGAGCAGTTCGGTAATTATATTTAAATTATATATATCATAACAATGTCAGGGAATCCTTCAACAAGCAAAATAGTTGATGTAGAATCGGTAGAAGAAAGATCTTTTGAAAATGAAGATTTTAAAGGTGAATTCACTAATGCTCTCGTATATGCAAATTCTATTTACGGGAGTAATGAATTATTATCAAAAAATCCTCCAGCGAAAATTAGTTCTGTGTCGATAGCTATGGCAAATAGCATTTCTGATGCTGTCATCGATATTTTAAACAACAGTTATGTCATGGTGGATGAAGATCTCATTCTAAATGATGATAGCGATAGTGAAAATCTATACGAAGAGGTATGTTTCTTCGATTTTAATGTTATTTTAATGTTAGAAGTGAAAGAAGCTGTAAATTATATTTTACAGCTTGATAGTGCACAGACGATCCAACGACAGATGCAGACTCCAATCCATCAGATTATGCAGGGCCTCCTACAGACTACATTCCTTTAGAGTATAAAGCAAAAATTGTTGCTCTTGCTGAAACACATCCACATTGGAATTTAAAGACACTGCAAAGACAAGGTGGAAGTCGTTTAAAAAGAAAAGATTATTTAGTCCAATGGAAGAAAGATGTGAAAAGTGGAGGAACGCGAGTAGATAAATGGCAAACAATTGACAATGAAACTTTTGAACATTTTCGAGAAGCAAGAAGCTGTTACGAGCAGGTAAAGCAAGAAAAATATATTAGAATTTCATATATACATATATAACGTAATACATTTATGTATGTACTAATGCATGTAATAATAAATATTTGCAGATAACAACAAGAACATTGCAACAATGGGCATTAATAGCAGCTTCTCCTTTTCAACCGGTCACGTTTTCGTTCGATGCTAGTTCCACCTGAATAAAAGTTTTTAAACAGAAACATAGAATAAAACAGCGTCAGATAACAAAATATGTTAGCCGAAGAGAGATCGCTAGAAGAAACCATGGAAGCAGCACAAAGATTCCAGATACAAACGAGAAACATTATTCCTAATTTCAATTTGGATTTCGTAATCAATACTGACCAGACGGGGTGCAATTATCAAACAACGTACAATAGATCACTCGAGTTTAAAGGAGTAAAGACAGTGTTCTTGAAAAAGCAAAATTTAAATAAAATTACACATTCGTATACGGCACAATATAACATGACTGCATCGGGGAAATTGCTTCCACTTGTGTATATATGTATGCAAGAATCTATAAATAAATTTGGTCCTATAATATCCAAATCGGTTGATAAATTGACTGCAGAATTTGGTAATATTGTTGTTACTTGTTCCAAATCAGGAAATTAACTAAAGAATTATATAAAACTATTTAGAAACAACGTTAAAATCGTATGTGAAAAATGACAAATTCCTTTTAATCATTGATTCATGGGGAGGACAAACTGATGTTGCTTTACATCATGAAATTTTTTGGAATGAAGAATGGAGATGCAACATGCATTCTGAAAATAACTCCTGCGAAATGCATCCCGTTTTGTCAACCATGCGATGTCTATTTTTATCGATAAGTCAAACTTCTAATAAAACGATTGTAAAATGCTCCAATATTAATAAAAGAAGAAAGAGAAATAGCATCTCATGAGGATGCTATTAAAATTCATTCTATAGTGCACCATCAGTTGAGCGCTCCTTCTTTTGAAAATATGATTAAATATGCTTGGTACGCTGCAAAATTATTGGAAGAAAGAAAATTTTTTTCAAATGTTAACGATATTTGCTTTCCACCAACAATTGCAAAGCAGAAGTGCCCCTGTACAGAGATTTCTTTTATAAAATGTGCTTAGTACGCTATATGCTTTTGTTTTAAATGTTTTTACGATATATATCATCCAAACAAATGTTTTGGATATAAAGACGGTAACGATGCCGATAATGAAGATGTAATGTAACATGTATATGCATATTCTTTTATATTTCTATTTTTATATGTGTCTTTGTATGGCTTTATGTATCTTATATATATAAAAAACAATATGAATATATAATATGAATATAATACCGTTTAACTACTGTTCTTTTAACTACACCTTTATATAATCATTATAACAACTTAATATATTTTTACTCCTATTTCCATTGCAATTATTATATAAAAATTTTCTCATACACTATATATTTTATAGATAAAATTAACGGTTTTTTTGCAATTTAAATCATTAATAATATATTTAACAAACACTAATATATTTAAGAAACGTAGTTTTATTATTTATTAATGTTTTCTGTTCCATTTTTATGCTTACAGAATAAAAAAAACCATACAGTAGGTATTGAACCTTAGCCGTCAGCTTGATAGTCCGTTACCTTCGCTGCTGCGATACGCCGCTTCGTTGAATACCTTTCTTACTAACTCGTATACTTATGTCGGCTCTTTTTTTTAGACCGTTTTTTCTCGAAAACGAAGAGGTATTGCGTTGTATGCTATTACCATGAGTTATTGGTAGTCAAGTACTATTAACTCCATAAGTTTCATTCCAAACCGTTTCCCGGTCGATGCGTCCTCCCCTTGTTAGTTGCACTAGTATTAACGATTTTGGAGCGGCTAATATGCTGGTTTCAGTAGCAATACTGTCAGCATTGTTTCAGAACATAGCTTATAAATAACAGTTTTTATATATGACAAATCGAAAATCGATTTTTTATTAAAAGAATCGATTTACGTAAAATTCGAATTGATAATAATCGATTAAAAATAATCGATTTTCGTTGATAAAAGATCGATTTCCTGAAAAATCAATTTGAAATCAAACATCCTTACCGTAGCCCAAGTGGCTACATGCTTGTTCTATTTGACGAAGAAAAAATTCTCTTTCACCACGATAATGCACCAACTCACACGTTTGCAATTGCCATGGCTAAAATTATCGAATTACGCTACGAACTGCTCCCTCATCCATCCTATTCTCCACATTTTCTTTGCAACTTCTTTCTTTTTGCAAACATGAAGAAATGACTCGATGGAAAAACATTCGCATCAAACGAGAAAGTCATCGCTAAAACAAACGCCTGCAGAATTTGAGAAATCGTATCTTTTGAAAGGCTTACAGAAGTTAGAAATCCGTTGAGCAAAGTATATTGAACTAAAAAGAGATTATATCGAAAAATAAATCGAATTTCGATAAAAAAAATTCTTTCATTTCTTTCATTTCAAAGTCACTAATTTAGCAAACAGCCCTCGTACAAAGATAAATCAATAATGATCTGCACTGTATTTTTTTATTTCTCTAATTTATTAGAACAGTATAGAATGTACATTTGCATTATTCCCTTGTTTTTAATGTACTTATTCTAACATTCTATATTCATTCTACATTCATCGATTGTGTATACCTTTGGACAAAAATGTTTTTAGTTTGTTCCTTATCCATGTATACACTGCTTTTTGCACATGTTGATTTATGGTAAATCGACCTCTTAAAGCATCTTTAAATGAACCAAATAGATAGCGATTGCTCCAAGGAAGCAAGATCTAGATCTGGATATACAAGATGCTCCAATATTTCGAAACGCAGTTCCTCAAGCGTTTGAATAATGTGGACGGTAGTACTTGCATTGTCATATAACAACAAAACATCTTTCAACAATAGATCTCGACGTTTGGTTCGAATTGCAGACTTCAGTTTGTCACACAGCATTTCATTGTAACATGCACAGTGTATTATTAACCCTTTTACTACCTGTTTGCTCCACTTAAAGATATCTTAAGTTATCAATTTGCCATAGACCAACATGTGAAAGAAGCGGTGCATATTACATGGCTGAGAAACAAACTAAAAACAGTTTTCTGAAAGTGTACAAGCTTGTAGGACGCTAAAACAAATGCATTAAAAAATAAAAGGATTATGTTAAAAAATGATGCAATCTCTGTACGTTTTCTAATGCACGTTCTCTACTATTGTTCTAATAAATTATAGAAATGGAAATAAAGGACGGATAATTATTAACTCACCTTCGTAATTAAGTCGACTTTAGGTTTACATCAATTTACTTATTCGTTATATTATTATTTAAATTTACCTGAAAGGTGCTACACCAGTTGGGAAGTTATGCGTTTCTGCTGTAAAAATAAGATGTTGCTTGATATCTTGTAAATGAAAATTACTGCTTTCGTAAGTTTTGGTAGGACGTAGGACGGCAACTTGAAATCCATCAATCGCACTGCTGTTATCGCTGAATTTAATCACATTGTTCGGATTCGAATAATTCTGTGTATCTATGATCATATCGATCAAAGATTGTTGTTTCTCAATACCATCCAAAACGATCCGTCCTTTAAAGAACCAATGACGACTATGCTCACTATTTGATTGAGCAAGATCAAAACATTCCACACTAGTTGGATTACGTTTCATTTTCGATCGAAACAATTCCGTATAAAAGTCTAAGTCCCAATCATCAAATGCTAAGCCTGCAGAATAAAATAACAAAAAGAATAATAGAATTGTAGTATATTAGCGATATATTATGTAAAATAATATTTAATATATTAAAAAGTTACGATATTTTTAATTATCCCAGATAATAAACATTGATTATCAATCAATTTATAGCAAAAATGTTAACGGTGATGAAATGTCGCATGGTATACTGTTATAAAAAATAAGTATCAAGATATTTATAAAGTATATATCAAAAGCTAAACAATCATTAAAAATATACACATAAAAAAATTATTAAATTATAAATTAAATTATAAATTTTTCTTCAATTGTATGCATGTGTATACATACATACATACGTGCATGCGTGCGTGCGTGCGTGCGTATGTGCGTATGTGTGTGAAAAATAATGAAGAACATTATTCTCTAAAACAGAGCTGGCCACAATCTACACATTTCGGGCGAAATTCAGTAGATGACGCCTACCGTCCCCTTCGCACCGCTCCGCGCTCAGTGGCTAGGGCGACGATCGTGATGCACTCAGTTGCTGTATAAGAAATCGGCTGAGGCGTACCCTTGCGACATATTATCATTAAAATTGTTTCCTCGTTTAATAATCACTTTAAAATAAATATGTCTACGTGTTTTATAAATATATATATATATATACATATATATATATATTATATTAATACATATTATATTATATATATATATATTACATATATATATATGTGTGTATGTGTGTGTGCGCATACGCATATATATATATACACATATATAATGCATAAACTTATATATATTTGAAAGTAATTATTAAGAGAGGAAAAAATTATATATATATATATATAAATAGTTAATGTATTGATATATAATAAAACAATATAATAAAACAATGTATAGTGTACAATGTATAATAAAACAATGTATAATTAAAAAAATTACATCATTAAAAAAGGTATAATTAAAGAATTATTGCAATAGATTTCACCCTTGAGATGCTATTACTGATGCGTTTTTTTTAAAGTGGTTTCGCCAGTAGGCTTATTCCACTAAATAACAAAGACGAAATACGATAAAATATATGGCTCGGCAGGAAAACAAAATTTTAGAGCAAAGAGTACGCCGAAGAGGCGAAATTACGTACAAATCTCTAAGACGTAGATAAGACGAATGATACAATGAGTAACAGAGATTTTAAAACCTCGCTGACTTATTTATTCAAAAAAGCTGTTTTTCAAACTTATCATTGCTTTTGCACCATCAGTGACTATAGCCGAACATTTGGAGAAATCGATGTCAAACTTTTGTAGAATTTGGCTAACAGCCTTAAAGATCTTAATACCTGTTGTTCTCCCATGTAATGATACAAAGTCTAAGAACTTCTCGACATATGAAACATCGTTTTACATATGATTTGAGCAAAAATACATAGTTGACTCACATGCCGATATTGGTGCTCTCATCAATATAGAATGAATAATACGAATAAGACGCTAATGAATATTTTAATTTCTTTTCTAAAGATGAATCCGTGAATCATCTATCCATTTTACAAATTTTACAGATTTAATGGAATGCTTGCAGCTTCTAAAGTCATCGAATCTCCAAACGATTTGACCGCTGCAATGAGCCATTTCTTCCTTTGTAAATTTTCCTTTGTTAAAGAACTTGGAATTTTTTGCAATGAAATTTGATATCGCATATGACGCGATAAGGGCTTTCGTTGAACATTGAAAATTCTCGACATTCATATTACGACTTTCTTCATGAACCAATTTTAATCCTTCAAATATATTACGTCTCTCCTCATCCACATAGTTTGAATATTCTACTTACTTATACACTCTCTCTACAAACACGCACTAGACCTTTAACGTGTTCAATTGTTTGAACAGACCTCTGTTGCTGACCGATATGCAGTTGTTTTACAGTCTGTCTGTTTCCACAATCTGTACGAGAGTCTGCTCGTTAAAGGTCTCTTGCAAGAATACAGACAGTTTGGCAATTTTATCTCAAGTTTTACTGTGATTTTATGTCTCTGCTTTGGTGTAGTCTTCTGGATTTCTCTGGATAGAATAGGAACAATGGATAGGAATCAAAAGTTCGAGCAAATTTTTGATAAGGTATGGGAGAAAATTTTCTTCGCTTATATTTCCGATAGAGAGTCATCTGTCTTTTATATGGTTTTCAACCACCGATTATTAAAAAATATTCCCTTTATAGACATTATAATATTCAATATTCTCAGGAGTATTCAAAATATGTGGACGAGGAGAAATAAAATATAACTGAGGCATTAAAATTATAAAGAAAATCGCGATTTAAATGTCGAGAATATTCCATCTTCTACGAAAGCCCTTACCGCGTCATATGCAATATCACATCTCATCGCAAAAAAATCTAAGCCGTTTAGTGAAGGGGAATTTGTAAAGGAATGCCTCATCGCAGCAGTCGAATCGTTTGGAGATTCGATAACTTTAGAAGAAGCTGCAAGCATTCCTTTAAATCGTAAAATCGTGAAATCACGGATTAATGATATTGCGCTATTTTTAGAGGAGAGATTAAAAATTGTATTAGCGTCTTATTCTTATTATTCTTTATGTCTCGATGAAAGCACCGATAATCGACATGTGAGTCAACTGAGTATTTTTGCTCGATTCGTACAAAACGATTTTTCATATGTCGAGGAGCTTTTAAATTTTGTATCATTGCATAGTAGAACAACAGGTGTAGAGATCTTCAAGGCTGTTAGCCAATGTCTACAAAAGTTTGACATCGATTTCTCCAAATGTTCGGCTGTAGTCACCGATGGCGCAAAAGCAATGATAGGTTTAAAAAACGGGTTCTTCGGACATTTGAAGCAGCGAAATTTCAAATTCCCTGTTATTCATTGTATAATTCATCAAGAAGCGTTATGTGGGAAAGATATTAAACTAAGTAGCGCCATGAAAACGGTTACAAAAATTATTAATTTAATTAAAGGTGGCCAAAAATTTCTTTCTCATCATAAATTCCAACACTTTCTCGAAGAGCATAACGCAACTTACACAGATGTTCCTTTATATTGTGAAGTGCGATGGCTCAGTGCAGAAAAATGTCTTGAAAAATTCTTCGCAATAAGAAAGAAGATATTCCTTTTTTTGCAAGACGAATATCCCATAAAATTGGACGAATTTAGATTTTTCTTCGAAGATTTAGACTTGCTTAGTGAGCTTGCTTTAATAACTGATTTAACAAATCATTTAAATATTCTAAATTTAAAGCTGCAAAAGTCCAATCAAACAATTACGCAATTAGTTGTATCGATGCTTTCCGCAGAAAATTGCTGCTCCTTAAAAATCAGTTGCAAAGTAATGTTCTTCACTTTTCCCTTCTTGCCAAATTCTCTTTGAAGAACACGGCACAAATTGTAATTTTCCAAAGCAACTGAATATTATTCAATCTTTAATTGATCAATTTGATGGGCGTTTTTCTGACTTTGAAAGTTTAAGACAAGATTTAATCCTATTTAGCAATCCTCTTATCCCGCAAATCGAGGAAAGCCTATTTCTTCAGGAAGAATTGTACGATTTGCAATGCGATATTTCTTTGAAATCCCGATTAGAAAAGGAGACCGAGTTTTTCAAAATTTTAGATTCTTCATCTTATCCACATTTTAGAGATTTTGGTCTCCGAATTTTTTCTATGTTTGAGTCCACATATTTATGCGAATGCTCCTTCTCAAGAATGAAATTGACAAAAACGGATAAACGTTCTTCTCTAAATGATACATCACTTTCTTCGTTGATGCGAGCTAGTTCTTCTAAAATGTCTGTGGATATATCATCTATAGTAGAGTCTAAACGACCCAAGACATGCTAGTTTATTTCTTCCTAAATATGATCCTAAATATGAAAGAGATTTACCTCTTTTTATCTAGTTTTCCTGCCGAGCCATACATTTTATCGTATTTTGTCTTCATTATTTACTGGAATAGGCCTACTAAGGAAACCACTTTAAAAAAACGCATCAACAATAGTACCTCATAGTTGATGTGGAAATCTATTATAATAGCTCTTTAATTATATTTTTTTTAATGATGTCATTCTTTTAATTATACATTGTAATTAATTATATATATATATATATATATATAATATATATATGTATTAAACACGTAAACATATATATTTTAAAGTGGTTATTAAACGAGGAAACAATTTTAATGATAATATGATCCACCAGCTGATTTCTTATACAGCGACGGGCCTGAGCGCATCGCGATCGTCGCTCTAGCCGCTGAGCGCGGAGCGGTGCGAAGGGGACGGTAGGCGTCACCTACTGAATTTCGCCCGAAATGTGCAGATTGTGGCCAGCTCTGCTCTAAAATAAACAGTTTATAAATCTTCTCTTTGATTTAGGAGACTTAAAAGATAAATATTTATAAAATATTTTTAATGTAAGAAATTTTTATCAGAAATCAATAAATAATTGATCTATTGTTGTCTTTCTTCAAATAAAAAGTCATCATTTTATCACCATTATTTTTATTGATATCTACACAATCTGTCCCAGATACGATGAGACTGGTTCCATCAATGTTCTTAGCGCAGCGACATCTATGAGTGAATAATGGTAGGTGAATATTCTACCCTTCATCTGCTTAACCTCAAAATTTGAGCGAATTCGGTTGATATTTCACTGTGGTTTGACATTTTATGTAAAGTCACTTTGTGTACATCGTCGAAAAACCAACATGGAACAAAGAGCGAATATTAAATTTTGTTTTAAATTGGGTAAAAGTGGTGCAGAAACGTACGAAACGCTAAAAAATGTGTACGGGGATGAATGTATGTCCCGTGCACAGGTTTTCCGTTGATTTGGCCGATTCCGTGACGGTCGTGAGGACCTTGCAGACGATGACCGAGCACCGCCGCCAAAAACCACTCGCAATGAAGAAAACATTGAGAAAGTCAAAGAAATTCTTCGAAGCGACCGCTGTGTGTCTGCGAGATTCATCGAAGAAGAAACTGGGATACCGAAAAGC